ATAATCGACTAACGGCGTTCGCTAATAATAGTGACATATGTCCAAGGCTGGATGAAGGTCTGTGAATACATCATATGACGTCACGTGTCCGCGCAGAAGGAGTCAAGTGTCAATTGTGGTGCCTAATTAAAACTGTATATAATAGTAAAATTAAAATAACTAATAAAAAAAACAAAAACAGAAATTTTGCTATAATGAATGCACAAACTGTTAAGGCTTTATTAAAAACAACACCAAGGGAATTAAACAAACATTTAAAAGAACAACACAGCGTGAGATAAACATTTCGGTAGTGCATGATGTAATTGCGCCCCCATTGGGGTTAGTGTTAGCGTCGCCTTTTAAGAACTTTATGTAAACCTTAAACAGGCACTGAGAGTAAAATGTTTCCCGCTCCTTCTCAAACCCTATTGCTTATCTTCACCGGTAGAGGGCACTGAAGCCATTAGATAAAAGGACATGGTTCACTGAACCAACATAGGTATGGCGAATATTTAACGTTACGCTCTCCTTTAACATTGTCTAAATAATATATAACATTTAGACAGTTTCGTGAATAGTGTGTTCCATTTACCCCCAGTTGGATGCTTGATATTTACATGATTTTAGCTTTTGGTAATTTCTATGCTAACAAATCGATATCTTTAGTTTTTTTTTTTCAAATTTTAAATAAATCTGACAACCCTTGACTATTTCTTGGTTAATTAGAAATACTGCTTAACGTTCATAAAGTACAGCCTGTAGTAGAGGGGTAATTGTTCACACAGCTTTAATTTACTGTTTTACTTAAACCAAAATAAACCATATTAAACCACAAAAGAACACAATGAAGACATATATTATCTGTATTCTCGCTTTGCCACTTTTCCCTCCGTCCCGTTCCTCCAGAGAACAGCCAATCCAGTGAGCGGAAGAAGGGGAATCGATGCCCTGATATGAGATCCAGCCTAATGAGGATCAGAAACATCTTAATAAAGACCTATAATCCAGCACTTAATCCCTCATTACAGAATCATCTACATTCACTGCTTCTGACTCTTTACCGCCGCAGCGATGGCACATTCGGGTTTCATTGTTCTGCCTCATTCCTCACCGAGGCCTCGCTCTTTCCTTTTGTCTCCCTTCAGTGTTGGCTAGATTTGATCCGCTCTCATTAGACTTTCAGAGGAGATGAGCGGAGAGAAGTGCTTTTGTGCTATCTCAGTCTCTGGTCTGAAATGGAAAATCCAGACATATGCTTAATGAGGAGGAAATGGACTGGGACCTCCGGTCAGAACTGTGACCGATATCAGGAAAGGACAAAGTCTGTGTCAGTCATTTTAGTTTTTAAAGAAAGTGGAAATGAGTCTAAAGTGGGCCAGATGGATTAGTTTAATGCTGAGTCCAGAGGAGCTCTCAGTCAGTTAGGGGTTAGTGCAGAATTAACGCAAATGTTTTATCCCAAGTTTTTAAAAAAAAAGTAAATTATCTGCCAAGTACAGAAAATCTGTTCAACTTTTGTAACTCAGGTTAGACCAGGCATGGACAAACTAAGGCATGGGGGCTTGATGTGGCCCGCCAAACCTTTCCAAATTGTATAATTTATTTATACTATCATTATACTTCTGCCTTTTCCCTGCAATAGCCACGTTTCCCCAATAGCAGGCGTAGAAAATGATAATAGCGTTTGAGCATTTTAACCTTTAGCCTTTAGCATGACCTTGACATGTCATTTATCTAAGTTCATACAAACGCTACATCTATCTACTCCTGACCCCCCCCCCCCCCAA